GTGACAAGTCACTGATTTGATTACTGAATATTTAATACTATTTATTCAGTAGGAAAGCAGTCCAATTAAGGAATAAAGCAAGTGACTGTCTTTATGAATGGGTAATCATGAATCACTGACTCACTAGATTCGTTTGAAAACGCAGTTCATTCATAAACGAAACACCACTGTGTTCGAATGGAGATGCGCAGCGGCTGAGCTGTAACTTTGTTTGAAACTATTTTCGACGACGAAATAGAGCAAAATCAGACAATAGTGTTATAGTCAGACAATGTAAGTCACTTAATATTAACTTCTTGTCTATTAAATTGTATTGTATTAAATCAGTATCACATTTACAAAAGCTTCACAATGTTGCTGTTTAAAAAATTTGGATCAAGTAGCCCCAATAAATTGATCATTTTGATAAGTAATAAATTAAACATACATGTAAAATGACAAAATAGCAGAATAGGCTATGAAATTATCATAATCTGTCTTATTCTTTTGTGCAGAAGCCAGCAGACAATGATAAGAGATGTTCTCAGGTCTGATGTATGTTAACTAGCCTATATGAAGAGGTTTTTGTTTAGTTCCCCACCCTCTCAAATCAAGTACAGCTGTACTGAATTCATAAGCAAAAGACACATCTGGAAATCATGCAGTATCCAGCTTGCCAAAACATAAGAAATGATTCTAATGCAAAATAAAGCATCAGCCTCGATTACTCTACACTGTTAAAAATGACTGTGAATTTAATGGTATATTACAAAGGTACAAAACAGATTTCAGTACTTCAATAAGTTGGTATATTAGCATTATATCAGTTAATGAAATTACGGTATTTAACTGTAAATTTAAGTTAAAACCGTAAAACCTAAAATGTTGCTACCGTATTTTTTACGGTAAAATTCCGGCAACCACAGCTGCCGTTTTTTTACCGTAAATGTTACGGATTTTTGTTTACAGTGTATATGCAACGTATATCCTTAAGGCATATTGAACAAATAGGCTACATCAGTACAGAATAACTGTGGCTTGTAAATGTGGTTTTAGTTTCTCAGTACTCCAAGTTCACACTTCAGTCATCCAAATGGAAGTACAGAGAAACTAAAAGTGTCTACTTTCTATATGGCAACACACAGAAACCGTTATAGTTTTTATAATTATGGGCGATAATCTTATCTTCAGAACCTTAAAACTTGGAAGAACAGCTTCACAATGTTGCCGTTTAACTGAAACACAACTGAAAAAGTCTCATGAGCTATTAAAGAGCAACCTTTAAGCAACACATTTTCCACTGGGTGTTGTGTATCATGAGATGCCGCAGGGATTTATGGATGTTTAGAATGAATCCGTCAAGTATACATAGACAGCTATGATTAGAATGCTAGAATGCCTGACCCTAATGCCTCTAAAATACCCAGGCTGCAGTCTTTCTCACACATCTGCTCACATTAAATCATGACACACCGTGACCTACGACCCCTCATACTAATATGTGACCCTGGACCACAAAACCAGTCATAAGGGTAAGCCTGTCTCTACCATGTCTATCAATAAAGCCTTGCATTTGGATCCGCACGTCTCATGTCTTGTCAGCCCCGTAACAAGGGTCACATATGAGCTTTCCAAGGATAAAACTGCAATATTGTTACAGTACACTGAGAATCTTCATATATACACTACATTAAAAAGTTTGGGGTCTAAGTTTCTATTCATCAGAAGATTTTGAAGAAAGCACGTATCTCGGTTTCTGCAAAGCAATACAACTGTTTTCAACATTAATAATAATGAGAAATGTTTCTTGAGCAGCAAATCAGCACATTAGAATGATTTCTGAAGGATCATGTGACACTGAAGACTGGAGTAATGATGCTGAAAATGTAGCTTTGCTTCACAGGAATAGCTAAATTACATTTTATAATATATTCAAATAAAAACAGTTAATTGTAAATAATAATAAATAGTAAATTGTAATAATATTTCACATTTTTACTGTTTTTACTGTATTTTTGATCAAATAAATGCAGTCTTGGTAGAGACTTCTTTTTTAAAAAACATAAAAAAATATTGCACATTCATAAGTTTGTGATTGGTACTTTTGCAACTGTGTGTATGAGGTCTAAGGTCTCCTGCAGCTGGTCTGAAGCCAAAGATATAGAGCAAGCAGCTGGCATATATGTGCACATGAGAGAGACGGCTACTGATCTACTCCACTGAGCCAGATTTAGATATTAAAGAGATAGTTCACTAAAAAAGGGAATTCTGTTGTCATTGCTTTACTCTCATGTGCCCCAAACCACATTTTTTTCCCTTTGTGAAGCACAAAAGGAGATGCTTGACGATCTTGCTCTTTTCAGTACAATGTGAATAAAATAGTTTTGTGGGAGGAACACTGAAAATAAATATAGATATTCACTTAAAATCTTGCATACATAAAATTTTTGGTCTGATTTCGGTGGTGGATTGAACAGAAGCATACAACTTTAATATTTTTTATCTCTGTTTTGGTCTGTCGTTGTGTGCAAAAGAGCAGCATGAACCATCTGCAAAACTTTTTGTATTCCAAAAACTGGTTTGAATCAACATAAACTTAAGGTGAGAAAATTATGTTGAATTTCAATTTCTGAGTGAACTGTTATATAAAGCGGTGCAGTGTGTGTTCGTATGGGATCGTAGATGGCACCAAATTATTTTCCTTTCAACACAAGGTTTAATTTGGTGTGACTATCGCCCACTTGGAAACGTCCCATACGGTTGCACCTAGCAACACGATCAAAATAAAAAGCATAATGTCTCACACCTGATGAAGTCACGATCTTCAAACCAGACTTATGACATGCATTTCAACATTTCTATGATGCAGAACACGAGAATGACTGGGCTTATCACCAATTGAGAAATAACATGACTCTACATGCTGTAATTGCACAGCAAATAGATATTTTAGATAGGTTCACCTCTACTGGCTCGTTTTCTGTGTTGATTTCGGCAGTCAAAACCAGACCCTTATTGTTAGAAATGCAAACAACTATGTCTTTAAGAACTTGTTCAACTGATGCTAAAAACATTTTACTGTATTCGGAGTCATGAGACGAGCACATGATAATCACACTGACCAGTTATGTGGAATAGACAAAATCCTTGTTTGACTCAAATGGATGGCCAGGGAAAAAATGTGGATCAAGTAGCCCCAATAAATTGATAACTGTGATAATAAATGAAACATACATGTAAAATGAAAAAATAGCAGGATAGGCTATGACATTATCATAATCTGTCTTATTCTTTTGTGCAGAAGCCAGCAGACAATGATAAGAGATGTTCTCAGGTCTGATGTAGGCTATATTAACTAGCCTATATGAAGAGGTTTTCGTTTAGTTCCCCGCCCTGTCAAATCAAGTACAGCTGTACTGAATTCATAAGCAAAAAACACATCTGGAAATCATGCAGTATCCAGCTTGCCAAAACATAAGAAATGATTCTAATGCAAAAAAAAGCATCAGCTTCGGTCCAAATACTGTATGCAGCGTAGATATCCTTAAGGCATACTGAACAAATAGGCTACATCAGTACAGAATAACTGTGGCTTGTAAATGTGGTTTTAGTTTCTCAGTACTCCAAGTTCACGCTTCAGTCATCCAAACGGAAGTACAGAAACACTCGCAGAAAACCGTTATAGTTTTTTATAATTATGGGCGATAATCTTATCTTCAGAACCTTAAAACTTGGAAGAACCTCCCAAGAAGTCAGCGCATTTACAGACGCATTTCTCCACAGAACAAACAGCGAGACTGACAGCAAGTGACACATGAACGAATAAAAAGTTTAGACTTACTTTTTTAAACAGGTTTTCTTCACGATATTCCTATAATGTTCTTCAGATATGTGTATGAGTTTCAAGACTGCAATACGCGAACAAACTCGCAGCAAGTCAAATTTAGTTTCTCAGTACTCCAAGTTCACACTTCAGTCATCCAAACGGAAGTACAGAGACACTCGCAGAAAACCGTTATAGTTTTTTATAATTATGGGCGATAATCTTAGCTTCAGAACCTTAAAACTTGGAAGAACCTCCCAAGAAGTCAGCGCATTTACAGACGCATTTCTCCACAGAACAAACAGCGAGACTGACAGCAAGTGACACATGAACGAATAAAAAGTTTAGACTTACTTTTTTAAACAGGTTTTCTTCACGATATTCCTATAATGTTCTTCAGATATGTGTATGAGTTTCAAGACTGCAATACGCGAACAAACTCGCAGCAAGTCAAACCGAGACTGGCCAAGTCTCGCCCTCACACGAGGGTTAATAATGTCACCAATGCACCCACCCCCTGTTACACTTTATGGTCAGTGTAAGTCGATTTGTTGTTGTATGGGAGCTATAGTGAAAACGAAAAATGTCCCCAGTCTCCCATATACTTGTTAAATCCCAAAGTTTTAATCAGGGACACAGAACTGATTGTTCATTGATCACTTTGCTGGGAAAAAAAAACAATACTAAATACAAAACAAACCATCAACTTTTAACCATTAAAACCATTTAAAAAAATGTATAGTGTGTTTTGGGACATATTCCATTAGGATTTATTGGTTTTAACAAGCCACCAATAGAGGGTGATGGTGACCAATTACCATAAAGACCCACAGGGTCCATTACAGTTTCCATTAAAACCAATACAATTGCCATTATACCCAGTAAAACCATTACAAATTTTGTGATGGTGTCTATTGTTTTTTTCAGCAGGGCAACATTTGGTATTTAATTACTTAGCCTACTGTACAATTACTAGCCTTGACATTTAACTTTATGAATATTTCTTAATATTTCTAACATAATAAATTCTCCCTGAATTCTAGAGCAGAAAAGACTGGTTTATCGCACCAGGGCAATCATTTTACTTTTAACCCTAATAATAGTGTAGGGGAAGTGAAACGGCAATGTTCAGGCTATACAGTACAAGACATAGGCTATGCATTTTTAGGTTTACTGGTTCAAACCTTGCCTTCACTGAAGGGGTGTAAATGTTCCTTAAAGGGATGGTTCACCCAAAAATGAAAATTTTCATTTTTTGAATATCATTACTCACCCTCATATCATTCCACACATTTAAGACCTTCCTTCATCTTCAGAACACAAATTAAGATATTTCTGATGTATTCCGAGTGCTTTCTGACCCTCAAGCAATGTAACTGAAATGTTATCAGACCCAGAAACGTAGTAAGAACATCGTTAAAATAGTCCATGTGACATCAATGGTTCAACCATAATTTTATGAAGCTACAAGAATACTTTTTGTGTGCAAAGAAAACAAAAATAACGACCTTTCAAATCATTGTCAAATTATTATTCAGCAAACATTTAAAACCACAATCAGGGTTTCAGACTATCAAAAGCAGTTTAATCAAGCTTTTTTTTAAGATATCATATAATCAAATTTGGAGTTTTGTGTTTTATGTCTGATAGCTTTGTCTTCTAACTAAAAGTTGGCTTTAGGTGACATCATCCTGCACTCACAGGCGTATCCAAATTTTTGACCAATCAGATGGTCTCTAGAATGAGTATGTCTCTCTTTGACTCTGTCTTTGATATGTTCATCCCATGATTTAATATAAGACACAACAACACAGAAATGTCATTTCATTTCACTGAGCTGTTAGCTTTTGTTGATTTTTGGCTGTCATTGTTTTTTAAGGTTCTTTGAGACTATAATGTGCTGCATTCTATTAACTCAAACTCAACTGAATGCAGTTGAGGTGAAACGTCAGAGGAACTTCAGGTCGGTAGTAACTTTTCTGAGTAATATTTGTGACCCTGGACCACAAAACCAATCATAAGGGTAAATTTTTTGAAATTGAGATTTAAACACAATCTGAAAGCTGAATAAATAAGCTTTCCATTGATGTATGGTTTGTTCGGATAGGACAATATTTGGCCGAGACACAACTATTTGAATGTCTGGAATCTGAGCAATGCATATTACTAATTAACAATTAAGTTTTGATATATTTTTGGTAGGAAATTTACAAAATATCTTCATGGAACATGATATTTACTTAATATCCTAATGATTTTTGGCATAAAAGAAAAATCGATAATTTTGACCCATACAATGTTTTTTTGGCAATATACCCAAGCGACTTAAGACTGGTTTTGTGCTTTTCAGTAAAACCATTGCATTGGAACAGAAAACCTTCAAAGTTCAAAGTTACACAAGCACCTGACTAAATGCATGCAAGATTATCACTTATATTCTCACACGGCTCTCTGAAGGTCTTGATTGGTCAATGGCATCATTCTGCGGTCAAGCATTTTTATATGATAATCTTTATATTTGACTGTTGCCATGTGTGATTTTCTGACACAATTGTACTACAGTTTCATGTTTCTCATGCCACTTGTATTACTCTTTCTTTCTTCTTATAAATAATAATATTTTTACATACTAACTATCACCCCTATATGGGAAATATCTTGCTATTTATGACCTAAAAGGAAAAAAAAATGACTGGGCAAAGGAGCATGGCATAGTTTTGACGTCAAGACAGTGAGTTACACAACTTTTGTTTGTTAAATTGGAGAAGCTCAGGAAATGAGCGAGAAGAGTGACGGCACACTGCTGTACATAAAAGTTTGCCACTCCTTTCTGATTCATTTATTTCATAATTTAAAGTACAGAGGATTTGATGGTAAAGAACATCAGTTATGGCTTCATAGAGACTGTAGTGGAAATAAATAAGCAGGCATATCAAAATGTGTCATCAGGATGAAATATATGAAGGTGTGTCTTGTTCTTCTTATCTGAACAAAAATCTATTGAGAAAAAGCTGTTAGGAAATACATCATCATGAGCAGTGTAATTCAGTCTAATTCATCAGTAGAACAACTTTCAATGTTTCCTCTAATACATCTGACCCACCCAAGTTCAGGTCATGGAGGACAATAGAGCTAACCTGAGTTATCTTAACTACCAAGGAGTTGAATATTCGCAGAATTAGGGTTACCATCCCGACACATCCCAAACAGTCCACTAGAAACATTGACCTTAAATATGGAGTTCCCTCTAGACGAGGCATGAGCCATTTACTGCTCTAAACATCTCTCTGTGGCAAAGGACTGTTTTGGGTTCAGTATTAGTGATCCAATGCATGCTACTTTTACTAGATTTGCAGTAGGCTACATAGTAAGTATACTGTGTACATTGTGTGAATTTTATGTTTGCACAGAATGACCTAGAAGGGTGCAGTACACAACAGAGCACAGTATCCCACAATGCAGTCCATGTGACTTGACCTTTTAGTTTCCGCCATGTAAGAAAAAAATCATGCAAAAAAAAAAAAGTCGAAAGGATGACATACGTAAGTCATAATTATTACATAGAGTCGGAATATTATTATGACTATAGATTATTATTAATATAGAATTATGACTTAAGAAATTATGATTTATAAACTCGAAAGTATGACTTAAAAGGTTGAAATGATGACTTAAGAAGTCGAAAATATGGCATAGTTAAGTCATAATTATTACATAAGTCAAAATTATGATTTGCTGACTTGAAAGCTCATTGATCCGACACGACATAGGAGAGTAGCCTAATTTGTTTCAGGAATCGGGTTACTGGTTGAGCTGTATGTTTTTGAATTACTACAAAGAACCGGCTCATAAGAGTCATTGTTCGTGAATCGGACTGCACTGTGCTTTGTACAATATGTTTGTTTTTACGTGCAGTCTGAGAGGACAGCTGAATGACCATTATTTCGTAAGAAGACTTCAATGCGAACTGTCTGCAACTCACATTGAAAGCTAAGGTATTTATTTGTATTTTTTGACTGTTTTTTTTTTTTCTTAAAGGGGTCATATGATGCTGCTAAAAAGAACATTATTTTGTGTATTTGGTGTAATGAAATGTATTTATGCGGTTTAAGGTTCAAAAAACACATTATTTTCCACATACTGTACATACTGTACATTCTCCTCTATGCCCCGCCTTTCTGAAACGCGTCGATTTTTACAAAACTAATCGGTCTGAAAAGCGAGGTGTGCTCTGATTAGAATCGCATCATATGACCCCTTTAAAGAAAACATACATGTGCGGTACCACTTGGAACAACCATGTAATGTTAACCATTCATTTATTCATAAACTCATTAATTCATAATTCATTAATTCATACATGGTATTATATCAAACATTGACACTAACAGGTCTTAAAAGAACCTTTTTTTTTTTCCTTTTTTTTTTGAAGAACATTTTAAAAATCTAAAGAACCTTTTTTTGGAATGGAAAGATTCCATTGAAGTTAAATTACTTGAGCCATTACTGCCAATAAAGACACTTTATTTTTAAGGGTGTAAATCAACGAAACAGTACTGTATTTACATCCATACTAATTTTACTAGTTATATTGTGCACAGTATTCTCATTTTCTTTACACATGTAATGCCTATGACCTACTGCACATTAAATGAAGGGTCATTTATGAACGATGTGTTCATTTTCAATCTGTTGCGTGACAAATGAACTAAACACTCAGACTTGAAGACACAGGTGAAATGATAAACAGCTGTAGCAAAATCATGTCCTTAATGCAGCATTTTGTTCATGCAAATTTTTTAGCTTTAGTATGAATATGGAATACAGATAAGAAAAAAGTGCCCATACTGAAAGAATCACCTTAATACTAATTTGCATGTTGTGTAACATCCTATAACTCAACATTAGCCTATAACTGGTCTTGCATTACTAAATAATTCGACTAATTTATATATGTGACCCTGGAGCACAAAACCAGTCTTAGGTCGCTGGGGTATGTTTTTAGCAATAGCCAAAAAAAACATTGTATGGGTCAAAATTATCCATTTTTCTTTTATGCCAAAAATCATTATTATATTAAGTAAAGATCATGTTCCATGAAGATATTTTGTAAATTTCCAACCGTAAATATATCAAAACTTAATTTTTGATTAGTAATGTGCATTGCTAAGGACTTCATTCATGCACTACTTAAATGCCACAGTTTGGGTCATTTTTCCCTTTATGGCTTGAGTTGATATGCATTGAGATTTGTGGGTTTAAATAACCGGGGTGTTGCACAGATCCGTCTGACAGCAACTGGCTGTAATATAGGGACTGGACTGAAGAATCATGCAGTCTGCCATACTAATGCACCTCCGGAAGTAAGAATCTAGTGGAATGGATAAGAAAATATAAGAAAAAGAGGTTCTTTGTTCATCCTGATGTGTTTTTCTCTGTAAAAGTCTTTCTATAAATTTTTTTTTTTGTGTGCAAAATCCAGTAATAATACTAGAAAACTCACAGGGAGAGATAGTGAATCTGGCAGCTACACAGGTGTCTTTTTTATAGCCACACGTCTCCTGAGTGGTCACACAACTTCCTCCAGGTGTGCGGGGGACACAGTTGTGACATTTCAGGGCAGATCCTACAACACAGTTAATCTGATTTTGAAAAAAAATGCTTTTTATGACATTTTAAGTGCACAATCAGACTCTTTAGATAAGATACCATTAACCTACCATTTGCCAATACCAGGGCAAGAACAAAAGCCAGCAACAGAACCTTCATCATTCTGTTGAATAAAGTGGAAAACTAATCAATTAACTAGGCTATGAGGTGAAACAATATGTTGTGTCACAAATATAATACAAAAATGCAGCAATATGTATGGATAATGACATGTGTATTGTACTGTGTAGTTAAACCAGAATTAAAGCTTAGACAGATTTAATTTAGCATCAGATATGGTGCATCAAATATTGTAAGCCCAGAAGGTCACACGCTTGAGATTCCATGTTTCTTAATTATTATAATTAAATAAAAAATTAAATACATTATTTAAAAAAAAATAGAATATTTAAAACATTTTAAATGTAGTCGGGGACAGAGTGCAAGAATATTAGTCTAACATAATTCTGTATTTTTTGTTTCAAATTCCAGTGCTTAGACTACAAATATGAATTTCAAAACATGCCTGTTTTTAAAACAGTCTCATATTGAAAAAAAAACCCTGTATGTTTATTGTTCATTAAATTTATTATTATATATTAAAAAAATATATATATTTTGTATCGGTGACTTTTACACTGTGACATTTTGATAATTTAGTTTAGTTATTAAAGAAAGTACTGATATAGCACATCAGGATTTTTGATTATAAAGGATGATTCTCATAACTGCACTGCAATTATATATATTAAATTTTCCCTGCATTATAACACTGAGAATGTGAGGAGAAACGCTGTTAATTTGTACCTGAGTGTCTGAAAACATTTGATTTGCTTACAATTCTCCTATAAGTGCTAAATGAATCTTATAATAACATTAATGCAGTCTAATCTAACAAACAAAAGTTGCATAATGTGTGTAAACTTACCTTGACTGTGAAGCAGAGCCGAGCTGAAGTGAGTTCATGCACACGTGTGTCTGTCTCTTTTATACTGTGATGCTGCCTGTAAACTTACAGGAATCTCTGTCAGGAATTTGGAAATTCCATGTTGAATTTAGGCCAAAGAACCCTGAACCACAACACAAGTGTTTGTTCACTGTGTGCTCTTGGCTAAAGCTTCAGATGATAAGTGCCCCTTTTTATTGGTTTACTGGTCCATGTGGATGTGTAACAATTTTTGTTTTGTTCTGCTCTGGTCTTTTCCAGTTTAGCCACAAAGATACATTGTTTCCCGTTATCTTATTTAATGTGCTTGCGCAAACCTGACCGGAATAGAGGTGCATTTGACACAATGTTACCATCTAGATATTTTACATATTTTGTAGGATCATTTTGTTGTGCATGAGCAGATATTCACTCTTATATGGTCTAAAGCAAATATGCCCAAACCAGGGCCTTTGCATTGAAATGTAGTGAATATATAAATGTACATTGTAATGTAATATAGTTGGATATAATGCAACATTTACTTTAGCTCATGGCCACCAGTCAAGTCTCATTTTTGGCCCTTTGTAGTAAAACGTTTGGGCTTCTCTGCTCTGAAGCATTCAGTCTCTATTAAATGTCCAGAACAGATTTTTGCACATAATACACAGACTGCAAAAATGGACAAATTGTTTGCCACTCACTTAACCCTCTGGGGTCGAGGGTGTTTTGGGGCCTGGAAAAGTTTTGACATTGTCGCTTGCGAAAACATAATAACGGCGCCGTGGGTGTAAACTTACAGATTAGGGGCGGTAATATTATAATGAGATCCCTTTGCCACGTCACCAAGAGAGCGAAATCAGACGCGCTTACCAAAGACATCAGAAAGGCTTACCAAAACAAAATTACTGGGTTAATCTTTTTCACGTTTCCTTGATTGGTAGATGCACTGGGGACCTCATTATAGCACTTAAAACCTGGAAAAGTCAGATTTTCATGATATGTCACCTTTAAATATGCAACATAATGACATTATGCAACAATAATGTAGCATGCCTCTCTGTCTGTGTGAAATGTCTGTTTTTGCATAATATATACAGTTTCACCTGTTATACTTTAATCTACTTTTTAAAAATAGTTGTCAGTGTACAGTAATGGTTATAACAAGCTGTTTGTACAGTGAACAGCATTTGAGTAGATTTGAGGTGAGAGCGACACCAGGTGGTCTGGACGGGAATCTGCAGGCTTACGTTTATCTACTGTTAATGAAATTGTTTGTGATAACAGACAGTTCAGACATTTTTATTTTTTATAAAGTCACAAAAAAAAAAACATTTGAAATGAATCACCAACATCAACTCATTTTGTAAACCATGACATTTATTGCTATTACAAAATCTGTAAATAAGATAGTGACGCCTCTTTAAACATCTATATTAGCAGTTTTATGTTCTGAATTGACAAACTCGACTGTTGCTCTGCTGAATAAAAGTTTGTTACGTCATACTGTTTTCAACCTTGGTTTTGAAACACTTCAAGATGTCACATTGCCCAATGTACCATGGAAATGATGTCACTTTTGTTGGTTTACTTGCGCAGTGTGAAATAAGGTGGATAATGGCGTTTTAAAGCATAACAAATATGCTTTCCATCTAAAACAAGTCAGTTTTGCGTAGTCTATAAGTTATCACTCCCGCAAAATCACATATGCTGACCTGAAACAGAGCAATTCCTTACCAAAAAGTAGTATACTTCAAGTTTATTTTATTAAGTATACTTAAGTAAAGTTCAAGTATATTTTAAGTATACTTTATGTAGCAAGTATACAAATATCAGTGTACTAGTAGTATACTTGTAAGTGTACTATTTCAATACTCCTTGGGACTAAATTGGCCCACTTTCTAGTATATAAAAGTATACTTTAAAGTACACAACTAGTTTACAACAATATTTTTGCTTGTACTGCAACTATACTAAAAGTGCACTTATAGGTATACTGATAGTTTCATAAATTAAAGTTCAGAAACACCAGAATGTACAAATAACATACAATTGCATTTTCATAAAAAAAGTTATTAGGAAAAGTCTGTATGAATTAATCAACACCCATGCAGGAAAAACTAAATGTGTGAAGCTGAAGTGAGTCCTCTGAGATAAATTCAGCTCACAGCATTCATTTCTCTGTAGGTGTGATAGGAGAATGTGGTGTATCACCCATTCATTTTTACAAAGCTACAGTTATAGATTGAGAGTAAACATTTTGCATTAAATTACTTTTAGTTTATTGTTCTTTACATTAACTGTGTAAAAAACCTTAAGCAGAAAACCTTTCCTAAAAGCTTTTGAAAAAACTCTTTAAATTCTAACGGAAATGTTGTAAAGCCTTATAAAACAAGATCTTTAGATTTTTCTGTTTGTTTTATCAAAAAAAATGTGTGAAAAATTCAGATTTAGCTAAATTTCAGTAACATTCACAAGAAAGAAAACATACAAACACCAAAAGAAAGAACAGGGTATCTGTTTGTAAACAAAAACATTTTATTCTAGCTTCATGCATTCTTTTTTTAAACACTTGAATGTGGATAAGTTTCATAAATAAAAAAAAGCTGAAAAAAGACTATGAATTGGATTCAGAATGATAATCAAAACGTCGATCAACACCCCAAAGCTTGACAGTTATTATTACCTCTTCATTGGTCGACATTACATCAACTTTACACAGTTTTGATGCTGTTTTATGTCTGATGATCGTGTTAGATTACATGTGGAAGCATCGGTTGTTTCCGTTTCTTCTTCACTTGTGTTTTTTTGGAAAAAAAACAGAAGATGTGTACTATTGCCCCCTACCGTATAACAATGAAAACACGGATTCTAGGAACACAAGTATAGCTCAAATATATTTAGACTTTTTCTAAGTAGGCTATAAGTCAAGTATACTTAAATGTCATTTTAAGTATATTTCTGAGAAGTACATAAAAAGTAGACTAAAAGTATACTTTCCTATTTTTTAGTTTAAAAGGAGTATACTAATAGTACACTTGAATAAACTTCTTTTTCATTAGGGATAACAAGGTGGTCTTCCTAGGGTTGTTGGTGTTGCACAGATCCGTCTGACAGCACTTGGCTTTAATATTGGGACTGGACTGAAGAATCATGCAGTCTGCCATGCTAATGCACCTCCGGAAGTAAGAATCTAGAGGAATGGGAAAGTGAATGAGTGTCACTGTTCATGTGGTTATGTGACAGTCTTTCTAAAGCTCCTGTATTTTAGTGCATCTATTGCACACATGATGGAAACGCACAGGGAGGGATGGTGAATCTGGCAGACACACAGGTGTCTTTTTTATAGCCACATGTCTCTTGAGTGGCCACACAACTTCCTCCAGGGGTCCCGGGGACACAGTTATAACATTTCAGGGTAGATCCTACAACAGTTATTAGGCTGATTAAACAACATCTGATTAAGAACTATTGATTTCATGACACTTTAAGTGACTCAGATCAAACTCTTTAGATAAGGATTCTGATCTAAAACAGTTCAGAAACAGCAGTTTGGGTTTTAAACATATTTGCCAACACCAGAGCGAGAACAAGAGCCAGCAGCGGAACCTTCATCATTCTGCTGAATAAAATAGAAAGCTAATCAGTTGACTAATCTGACTACAATATATCATGTCACAATATATTATAAAATTTCAAAAATACAACAATGCGTTCAGCTTCCAAGTTTATTAATTGTTCGATTAAAATTAAAATACTTTGTTTAATAAAATCAAATATTGAAAACATTTTAAGCATTTTAGAACAGTGCTAGATTATATAAACATTTTAATATTTTATTATTAAATATTTTAAAATATTTTGTTATTATTATTATGAATATTCATTTTTTGTATCATTGTGGCTTTTTATATTGTGATAATTTTGATGTTACTCTTTTCATAAAGTAGCACATAATATTTGATATTATAATATTAAATAATATATTGTAAATATTATATTAAATATAATATTTTTGAATTTATTTAGCTGATTTTAAAGGATGATTCTCATAACTGTATTGCATGTATTTGTTTTGTTTGTTTTTATTTATGCATTATAATACTGACAGTGTAAGAAGAAATATGGTTAATTTTTCATTATAGTATGTCACAATGCAAAATGCACAATTATTTTGATTTTGTGGTGAGAAATGACCTGCACCTTAACAGTTTTCTCAGAATTATTGTTAAATTATCTTTCCATGCCTTATTATTCTAGACAAACCAGAGAACAATAGTAGTTTAGATCCAATAAGTGTTTGTGTTTTCAGAGAGAAAATGCTGTTACATCAATGTCTGAAAATCTTACAACTTTCTTACAATTATCCCATTAAAACGGCTAAGTTAATCTAAACTGAATTTAACTTAATGCAGTCTAATCTAACAAATAGTTGCATAATGCTGTGCTAACGTACCTTGACTTGAAGCAGAGCCAGAGCTGAGAAGTTGGTTCATATGCACCTGTGTCTGTCTCTTATATACTGTGACGCTGCCTGTAAACTTCCAGGAATCAAACAAAGATAGAGTGTTTTTCTCTTGTCTTATTTAATGTGCTTGTGCAAGGTTTACTGAAATAGAAGTATAACTTAGTAAGGACGCTGTAGGGACACGTCCATACCAGTATCCAGCGACTACTGAATTGTCACCAGCAACAATTTTAATCAAACAATTATTATATATTTATATGTAACCACTGTTGTTATTTTGGAAATATCTGAAATGAGTCATACGTGACAATACTTGAGAAGTTAATACACTAGAAAACTGCTTTTTTTGATGTATGGACAAAGTAAAAACATGAGATAAATGTTTACATTTCTGCACCAATGTCAAAATCAAACCTAATGTATGCCCTTGGGTACATTTGATAAAATGTTAATGTTTTGTAGGATGATGTGTTGTGCAAGAGCAGATGTTCATTCTTACACGGTCTAAAGCACTCGGTCTCAGAAATTTGCACATTGCACATGCATAGTATACATATGGCAAAAATAGACAAAATTGTTTGCCACTTGCTTAAACACGCAACATAATGACATTACGCAACAATAATATATGCTACTCTTAGATATGTTTGTTTACATTGTATAATGTGTACAGTTTTACCAACTCTACTTTTCATGATTCATCTATTTTTTACAAATAGTTTTCAGTATACAGTAAAGGTCACAGTATGCAGTGAACAGTTCAGTTGATTGAGTAGATTTGAGATGAGAGCGACACCAGGGGGTTTGGATGGGGAGCTGCAGGCTGTACTGGACAGTTTTTTTGTTTTTTTTTACACAATGACTTAGGAAACATTTCTCAATAGGTCACTTTTTCCAAACTCCTCACACAGTGATCATAACAGCAGTCTGTATGTGGGTTAAACTGTGGATAATTTTCCATTGCTTTGACACAAAAGGCATTCAATTTTAAATGAAGGGTCATCCCATCCATGTCAACTCAGTTTTCCCCCAAAGTTTGCATGTCTTTTATTATATTCTGTTTCTTGACCGACTTTTCTTTTGTTATCCTTATTTTACAAGCCCCATAAGGTTCATTTTCAGAGATATTGGGATATCAACGTGGCTTTAAGAGTAAATTGTTAAACTGTACACATTTTTAGTGGTCAAAACCCAAATGTGGGTCACTTTGCATCAGTGGCGTAGCAAGTCAGCCCCGGGCCCATATGCAAATTTTTTTTTATATATATATATAGGCCTATATATATATGAAATACGTTAATGTAGTTAATGTATGTTGAAAAGCTCCTTAGAGTTTGTGCTTATAGTTGTTGCCGCGATGCACCAGCACCGCTTAAAATAGAAATCGTTATGTTATGTTTCTTCCTGTTGTTTCAAAGATTAAAGGCACAATCACTTTCCCAAATAGTCTGGAGTAACGTGGTAAACGCTAAAATGTGGGGTTTTAATAATGTTAGCGTTCTGGCACTTGGAATTTTAAGATGTAGAATAGTAAACACCTGTCCAAGAACAGCTTCACATTTAAATGATTGTGTCTTTAATCAGATGAGAATATGGCTATTAAATATACTATTTGTGTGATATTGATGATTAAGTTAGAGTTTTTTTTTTTTTGTTGTTGCTGTTTTTTTTTTAGACAGAATTTTGTGGTGGAAAAAATTAAAAGGGTACAAAGTCAGGCACAGCAGCAATTCATTCAAGGTTTCTTCAAAAAGAAACCATGTCAAAGACAGGTAGATACAGTGCAGTGCAGGTCAGAGCCAATCCACCAGGCAGGGCCGAGTTGGCCATCAAATAATCAGCCCTGAACCTGGCAGCACAGGTCAGAGCCAGTCAGAGAGGGCCAGTGAGGACTACACGAGCAGCCATCTATCTGCAGCAACAGGTGAAAGTCAGAATGTCAATAAGCCTATGTTTTATTGCTGTTTTACATGTTAAATGTGAAGAATGACAGGTTGGATGCAACACACTTTTTTTGGAGGCAGAGTATAGGTGTAATTTGCACATTAACTTCACGCAATATAACATTATTTTATTATCGTAATTTTGAGTTTATTCTTAAAATATTATGACGTTAATCTTATTTATTTGAGTTATTTGTTTTATAAATGTGGCACAAATGCAGCCGTAGACTATTTGTACTGCATGCAAACACAATCTTGGCACAGCGGCCCAAAAAACAAACAAACAAAAAAAAGTAAAAAGTAAAAAAATAGTAAGGAGATATTTGAATTATTTATTAATAAACTAGTGTTTTCTGGGTCAATGTCGCAAAAATGAAGTTGACCATCCTGACTCGCCATCTCCTCATTGGACGCACCTTTAGAGAGAAAAGCATCTTTACGGATTACATAATGAAAGAGTTTTTGTCTTCGATTTGAATTATTTCGGTCCACAGTAGTGATTTAAAGCTGTCTATAGATATATTTATCATGTCTGTGAGGCAAGTATTCGCTGAGTTTCGGTTAATTTTTGTGAAGCGCTCCTGCTCAAGACCGAGACTGCAGAAAGCGCATCCTGTTTGTTTTCCTTATTTTACAAAAGCACAACGTTTTGTTGATATTGAGAGTACACACAAATAAAAGACCCGAATGATGTATTAGTCTTATCTGTATGAGCAAAAATGAAGGCGTATTTTAAGTTTCCACTCTTACAAAAAAAATAAATAAATAAATCGCGCTGGGGCCTCCATCTCCTGCAGAGCGCGCTTCAGCTTCCACTCTCCGCACAAACGATTGGATATGCGTCTAACAGCGCACATTTATCTAGGTTAAATGTTGAAGTTAATACTGTGAAATGCATTAAGTGTTTTAGCCTATATGTATAGATTTTATTTTAGGCAAGTCGTGTTGACTTGAGAAGGCTAAACTGATCAAACATAGGATCAACTCATGTCTGCTGCTGGCCAAAAAACAAAAACTTGAATTTAACAAACAAAAAATGTTCCAAACATATCTCTAAATTAACTTAATAAAGAAACGAAAAGAAATATAGCCACTTTTCTATTAAAAAACAACTATGAACTATTTTAATGGCTGCAACAGCAGCTGTGTAATGGGGAAGAGAGAGGGAGAAAAAGGTCATGGGCTCCAGTCGGACTCGGGCAGGTAATTCTGATAGCTGTCGGACAAGGACCGGGCCCGTGCAGGGCTCTAATCGTTTCCTTGTTTCAATTAAAAGTTCCCCCTTGGTTCGGCGGGCCCCCAATCTTCCCGGTCCCATATACACCTGCATACCCAGACGCTACGCCCCTGCTTTGCATACAAATGATACTTTTTCTTTAAAAGAGGAATGTCTGAAGAACAAACAATGTTGAAACTTGAAATGTATCTTGTTTCCCTCTATAAAAACAATTGCATCTAACTTTTCTGTCTGAGTACCAAAAATTTTATTTTTCCTGTGTGCTTGTAACACAAGTAGTATTAAAGATTCTGGTTCTTAAGAAACTTTTTAAGGCCATATATGGTTCAAACCTAAATGCGGATCTCAGTGTGGCTCCATGCAAATAGTTGAGTTCATTTTCAATGGTCGAAAAAAATGATTGTAGGACACTGCATAAAAGCTGATGTGCATTTAACAAGGAATATCTGAAGAACAAATAATGTTGAAACTAGAAATGTACCTGAATTTATTCACAAAAGCAATAATATCAGTCTGTACATTGTTATTAACAAGGAAATGGCCATTTAGCTGGTGCAGTCTTTTTTAGTTCAATTGTAAATTCTTCACATATTCCACAATTATTCATCTGTGGCAAATGCTGAAACTATGATATTTATTGTTGGGCAAAATCTTTAAAGCTGCAGTCCGTAACTTTTTTGTGTTCAAAATTTACAAAACTTATATAAAATATAAAAAAGTTACGGACTGCAGCTTTAAGAAATAGAGATGGTGAAGCCTCTTTAAACATCTGTATTATGGTAAACATGGCAGTTTCATGTTCTAAGTCGACAGAAGTCAGTCTAAATGATGACCATGTTGTTGCAGAGATCAGACTGGCAGCATTTAACTTTCATGGCAGTGTTACTCGAGAGAATAAGACACTCCGTCATACTGCTGCATCTCCGAAAGCCCATGACTAGAAGAAACAGAGAAATCAAAACATGATTTTATCTAATCACAAACATTTATCTGCTTATAATGCAAAGAATCACATTACAGCTTCAGTTTGGTAGCATCCCTGTCAGTGTTATTTTAGTATCACTGAGATACTATTATAGTTTTCATTAATAGTTTGAATTAGTTTTTATTTGTATATTTTCATTTTTGTGGTACATTGGAAATTAAATGTGAAATGTTGAAATTGATAGTATTTTAGAACATTTTATAATAATATAATGCATTTATATCTGTCTACAGTGTGAAGCTGACTGGAAGGTTAAACTCACAGGGAGGGAAGTTGAATCTGGCCGCTATACAGGCATCTTTTCCAAAGCCACAGGTCTCTTGAGTTTGTGTGCAGCGCGTTCCACCCTGAGGAACACAGTGGTTGCATTTCAGTGCAGATCCTGCAACACAAAGTGCGTGCGTTATCACCAAATCAGCACTCAACTTTTATTATAGAGTCTTGAGCATGAGTTTATTAATAGTTTGCACAATCAGAGTCATACATACTGTATATTAAATAAAAGAAGAAAAAAATGTTGCCAAGAAAACATTTCTCAATTTTCATTTACTAAACTAAAACTGAAATAAAAATGTATAAAAACTAAATAGACATATTAAAAAAAAAAAAAATACAAACTAATAAAAATAAAAAACACATTTACTAAAACTTTAAATAAAATGAAAATGTAAAATATGTAAAATATATAATTATATTAAATAATAGTCTCTCAATTGAATTATGTTCATGTTTAATCTTTTAATTAACATCTTTTAACTCACCGTAGTTCAACACCAGAACAAGAACAAGGGCCACCACCAGCAAAGTCTTCATTATTCTGTCGATTAGAGCTGAAAATATTAATAATAATTAAAAATCACCAATAAGAGTGCGAAAAGACCAAAAAAATGAATGCAATTCAGAAACAAACTAATCTATCAATATCTGTGTATGTTGTTTTAATAACTTACCTCCCAAGTGATGTAGTATTGAGTGTATTGTAAGTTCATAATAAGCACTTGTGTGTGTGTGTGTGTGTGTGTGTCTCTTATATATTTGTCATGTACTCAGGAGTGAATCATTTCCGAGAAAACAGGAATTCCCACAGTGTTTGAAACCGGATCATTGTGTTCAAATGAGGCCACAGACACTCAATAACATTTGCCAACTGTGTTTGGTCATGGTTTACTCATGCAATAGCTTCAGATCATCAGTACTGATCGTGTCATGTGCTTGTGCAAGATCCTGTTCTGTCCTGTTCTACTACAATAAACCACTTATTTTTAATATGGTGTGAGAAAATATTAAAGAAATAATTATCTGTGTTTGGGTATCAAACTAAACTATTATGGTTGTGTTTTCCTCTTTCTCAACAATGCGTTTACATGCATACAATTAGCCTCTCCGAAGCTAATGCTCCTTATATTCATTTCACTCTTCTTTAATAAATTATTTAAACTTATATTCGTTGTCTTTGGTGATCTGTTGGCTGTGGCTGGAATCCCGTCAACATCACTCGTTCGCGTTTCACCCTATTAAAATGGGTCGTAACACTTATATTCTTTAATATTTCTAATTTGGTATATATACACTTTATATAGTATATATATATATATATATATATTACCTGTGTCTATCAGACTTTATAATTCCTCAGTATAATAACGTATTTTATTGTGCAATATTATATTTTTACTTGTATATTTATTTAAATCTTAGTAGTTTTATTTTTATTTCTTGTATATAGTTTTAGGTTTTACTTAAAATTAAAAATTGAAAATATAAAAACGAATCCAAAATATTGAGAATTGAGAATTCTGAAAAGATGATGGACAGTTTACCGTCACTGTAGGTGGGAGCTGCTGTTGGTTAACAAATGACAAATGTTTTCTTTGATATGAGGATTGGCAGGAAAGTTCAATATTGTGTAAAACAAAGCTGAGGAACACAAGAGCCCGAGGGGACAGGTGATAAAGAGAGATATTATTATATGTCTTTTGGTGACGTACAGCAGAGGACATAGTTTATTGGATATTAAGCACTTTTGCTGGTTGTTTGGAGCCTGAATCTGTTCAACAAGTGTTTACAGCATTTGAAATGTTTCAGTGAGTGTGAGTCCAAGGTTCATGTGTGCACAAGGCTTTAATGTCTGTTTAATTTAGCTCTGTTCATGACTTATTTAACTGGCCGATAAGATTGAATGAAAGATGACAGTCTTTTGATCTAGCAGTGATTAATTATGTAATGTAAAAACATGTGAAGTAAAGCTCATCAGATCTATATGGCAGTCAAACAGCAGTTGTGGTTCACCATATTTTATTTGCTGGTTATTGAGATTTTTCTATAAACAGTGTCAATTGAATTTTCTTAGTATTCTTGTCTTGTTTTACATTTCACACTTCTAAAAATGCATAACTCAAGACACGTTTACTTGAAAAGCAAAATGAAACATATTAAGTCTTTTTTTCTGAGAGTAAAAAAAAATCTACATTTTATGCTTTTTATTGTTTTAAGCATAAACTTTTAGTGTCTTAAGTTATTACTTCTCGAGTAAATGTATATTGATTTAAGAATGTTTAGATTGGAAAAGACGGTAGAAGAAAATAGTTCTCATATCAAATGCATGAGTCAGAAGAGCAGCAAACATCTGATTTTGACATCATGGAATGATAACTTTTACAACACCTCACCTTTGAAATCTGTGTTTCAAAAATATTTACATTTGACAGTATTTGTATGTATATTATTTATTATTTCACATAATTTGTATTAACTTTTTTATATAAAATATTATTTTATATAATTTCAATACCATATTATTATATTTATATTGTTATTTGATTTATTTGAGATACATTGCACAGTACTCTTCAGTTTATGTTGTTTCATTGTTTTACTTTTTTTTATAATCTAAAACTTTTGTGTTTATGCAAATGATATGCACTAATGAAATTGCGATATATTTCAGCTTGTGATGTAAATAGTCTTCTATTGCATTTTATTGGTAATTTTGTATATCTTTTTTTAAATCACTGCGAAGTGAGAATGTATTTGTATGATATCTGTATTAAAAAGCAAGTAAATCACATAATCAACAAAAATGCTAGCATGCTTAGTTTATTTTAATATTAATGACCTCCTTGAAACAGACTGTTTTTGTAACATTGCACAAAACAAGACGAATGTAATGTGTAAATATTGTCATAAATTCCACTAAAAACACGCATAAACATGCGTAACCTGGTTCATGTGTACTCTATTTTATTGAAAGCTGTTTTATGAGTCATGCTGATATATAGCAGCGGCAGATCAGTCAAAGGTGTTGCAGAGGTCCTTCTGACAGCACTTGATGTTGATGTAAGCGTTCTGTTTCACCATCTCACAGCCTGACATGGACATGCACTTCTGGTAATGACCGTCTGTTTCAAACAAAACCACAAGACATTTAATCGAATGTTTTTCAAACTGTAAATGCCATTGAAATCAGCAGATCGTAGTCACTGTCTGAATGGTTACGGTGGGCTTCATCACTCACATGGGCTTCTGCGGAACTTGGCAGCAGCACACGCGTCTTTGTCCGGTGGGCAGGTTACGGCGGTGATCTCGCAGGCCCCTCCTGCTTTCTCTGGGATGCAGTGCAGGCAGTCCAGAGCCGAGCCTTAAACGCACGGGACAATATTTGATTTCACACTTCTTGTTTGTGCTATAAATTCTTACATGTACACAGAGCTTACAACACGTGTACATAAACCCTGTATGTACTGAATAGAAGCCTTTTGAACCCTTTAATGCTGTGGTTTGGACAGGTTTTGCTGCTCACATGTGGACATTTCAGACATTTCATCTCTACCAGAAGTGCAAAACCTGCCCACACAGGTTCTTTTCCCATATGTGTTTGCTCATGTATATTTCAGCACACAAAGTAGGATTTTATTGCATCATGGATGATCTGAACTCTGTTTCATGACAACAAAATCAATAATCACACACTGCTTTTGACTTCAAACTGTTGCATGGATCTTGACTTCTGCTGTTCACTTCAGGAATTTGGCTGTGTTTCAAAACAACATAAATTTTTTAATACATTTATTTGTGATAGATATTAAGCACAGTGTTTTAAATTTTACATTATAATGTTTCTTTGTTTAAAAATTCCCAACATTTCAGGAATTTAATTTCCAGCAGAAATGCAAAATCTGCCCACAAGCTATACATGCAGTCATTCAGCTATTTCTTATTTTCTTTTTATGCATTCATGCACATTTCATCACACAAAGCGTATGCATCATATGCATCATATTCAGTGCATCATAGATGATCTCAGCACTCGCCAATTTTGACAAGAATTTGTATATATAGGCTACATATGTTTATTTGAGATATATAGTTATATAAATAAGATATACAGTGCAGTGTTCTTAATCTTACATTATAATGTCTCTTTGTTTTACATTTTCAAAATCTTAAAACTTTGTTTATTTCCAGACTTTTGGACCTCGCTGGTTATTAATCTACACTCTCAGAAAAAATGGTACAAAAGTTGTCACTGGGGCGGTACCTTTTCAAAAGGCACACCTTTGTACCTAAAGAGTCCATACTGGTACATATTAGTACCTATAAGGTACAAAAGTGTACCTTTTGAAAAGGTACCGCCCCAGTGACAGCTTTTGTACCTTTTTTTCTGAGAGTCTAATAGATTATTCTATTATTCTGCAGATGATAAGCATTAATAACTGCAATACATTTCAGTCTGTGATTCACTCATCTTAATGTTTCTAGATGTAAAGGTTACCTGCAATAATCTTTTCTTGCATTTTATGGTAGTATTGCACATATTTACTGTACATATTTTTTAAATAATTTACATTTCAGTGCACATGTACATAACCTTCTATTTATGAAAGTATTTTCCTTATGTGTTTGTGGTTTGGGCATTTTCTCCTGTTGACATTTCAGAAATGTCATCTCCACCAGAAATGCAAACCTGCCCACATGCTGTGCAATACTTCAATACTAAACTTCTGAACGTATTTGTCTTATATTCTTTTCCTGTATGTTTATTCTCATGTATATTTCAGCACACAAAGCATAGTTTCAGTGCATCAGATCCAAAGTCTGTCATAGATCCATAATCACACTCACTGCCTGTCACGACCAGCACAAGAACAACAGCCAATATGAGGAACTTCATCCTTCTGGAAAACAAACCGAAGAAGAGAAGCGACTGTTGAATGTCTAAACTTATTTCATTTATAGAAAAAGTAAGAATATAACTCTAAAGAGCATTAAAACACATACTAGACAACAACCAACCAAAACCAAAGCAAAGGATCATAAACGTACTAAAAACAAACCATTACTGTAATTAGTCTGAAGCAGCTCTACTCAAAGGTCATATTTCCTAGAGTAGATCAATAAAGTTTTGTCTTGTGATTTATGATGTGTGCATTGCTGATGTATATGTTTTAATGTACTGTAAAAATAATTTCCATAAATAAAACTACATGTGTGTAAAGTGTAACTCACCTTTGTACGGTGTTGGACTGAGTAAAACTGTTCTTCTGTCTGTCTGTATGTCTATATGAAACCTTACCTTTATCCTACAGTTTCTTATCAGCTCCCTTCTCTCTCTCTCTCTCTCTCTCTCTCTCTCTCTCTCTGTCTTTCTGCAAACAGACCAAGCCCTGGTCATATGCAGCACAGTTAAATTAATGGTCATTACACCGGAAAATGAAACAATATTTCTCAACTTTATGTGTGTAACTTTGCGTGTTTGCAGCTCTTCTGTTTACAGGGTGTTGTTCTGTGTTGTAATCGCATGTAGAGATGTACGCAACGTCCTTCCTGCAGCTTCCCAGCTGGGGTCATGAAGAACCATAGATTGAATGAAAGAACAATAGAGTGATAGAACAAAAAAACGACAGAATAAAAGAATGATAGATAGAACGATAGATAGAATGACAGAATGATAGAACGATAGATAGATAGATAGATAGATAGATAGATAGATAGATAGATAGATGGATGGATGGATGGATGGATGGAGAATGAACGATAGATAGATAGATAGATAGA